CTATGTACTCACAATTTTTTCTACAAAAGATATGACAAAACAAGATTTATAAATCAGTTTGTAGGCAAAAGGAAGCATTTACTTTGAGATGGGCTGCATCTATTCCAACTTCTAACTTAAAAACTGAGCACATCATTATTTTTATTACCCATGGTACATTACAAAACTGGATCACAGATTAGGCAACAAAGATAACTTCCCCAAATGTTAAAAACTTAGAAATTGTATCACCAGAGGCCTCTCTTGGTAGACTGCAACAAACCTAAAAACTATGAAATATTGAAAAGTTTACTTTTTCAAAGGAACAAAACTGTGGTGAAACCGGCACTAATAAGAGATTTAAAAAATAAAACTGTGTGCAAACTCATGGGGCACAGAGTGATAGGAAGAGGTAAAGTGCTGCATTCATTTATAGTATCATGGGGACATTAGAGTAGATTTATCAAAACGCTATACTTCTATTTCTGCATCTCAGAAACTAACAAAATGGATTCCTAAAATAGTAGGGTAAATATAAAAATATATTAATTTAAATATATCAGGTATTTTCCCTAATAATGTGAATAAAAGGGGAATTCCTGTAACTATAGTTTATAACTGAGAAAGAAGAATGTTTGCAGTACTCTCAACTTTACCTTTGAAACAGTATACTACTGCTTCTTAGGAAATCTCAAATTCATAGAGGTAAAACATGTAAACAGTTATACTTAAGGAAAGAAATTAAAGTATCATTACTAATTAATAGATAACTTGAAAAAATCTTTGTGTTTATAAAAATACACATAAAAATAAGATTGAATGTCACAATAATAATATACAGATATATAACATAATAATTATGCATTGGTCTCCACTGTCATCTTCTTTATGCAATAGAATTATTCTGAAATGACACATCATGCGGTACATGAACACTGGGCAATAGTCAGTATGCATTTTGAGTACAGATTTTAAAAACCAGAGCTCATATATACAGTATATGTAGAGACTAAGAGATTTCTACTTCTAAAAAACTCAAAAAATGTAGAACATATCTTTGAAATAAATTCCATTAAAACGCTTTATGTAGTCTTAATCTCAATTATTCACACCAAATTTCAAAATTTATTCTATTCAAAAGTTAATAAACTTCTAAGGGAACTAGACGATTGAAACAAGAGAAATCAAATTTCTAACGGAGTATAAAGAATGAATTTTTAGTGTTAAAATGCGTTATTAAGAATAACTGATGCTTATCAAAGAATTATCACTTTATTTTTCCTTCAAGAAATATTTACAATTAAAACACAAGTAATCACATAACTGTTCATTTTTTTCCCTCCTTCCTCAGGAAATAAAAGTGGGAGGAACAGAACATATTCGTGGTTAACTCACTAATTTAAGATCCAGCTAAGAAATTCTCGTGGTGGCTCACACCTGCAATTACAGCAATTGGGAGGCCGAGGCTGGTGGATCATTCGAGCTCAGGAATTCGAACCCAGCCTGGGTAACATAGTGAAACCCTGTCTCTAAAAAAAATTAAAGTTTAGCCAGGCTAAATTAGTGCAACCACTATGGGAAACCATTTGGAAGTTCCTCAAAGAACTAAAAATTGAGTACCATATGATCCAACAATCTTACTGCTAGGTATATGCCCAAAAGAAAGGAAATCGGTCTCGGGAGTCTCGGAAGGCTGAGGTGGGAGGATCCCTTAAGCCTGAAAGTTTGAGACGGCCGCGAGCTACGATCGTGCTGCTGCAATCCGCCCCTGTCTCTAAATAAATAAATAAGTGTGATTCTCAGTAAAATCAATAACCATTGATTTATTCCTAGAAATTTGAAGATCCCAAACACTTTGTGTAGGTAACGCTAGTCTTTGGAAATGGCTTCTTGTAGGAGGTTCATGTTTTTTCTCTTTCAGTCATGCATTAAAATATTGTGGTATGTATTTCATATAAAGTTCAGTCACTTTGGTTGCACAAACTAGGTATGTGAAGAAAAGTTAAAAGATAATATTTGAAATTTTTGGTTCAAGAATAAAATAATTATGATTTCTTAAAGTAAGCATTCTCTTTAATTAAGGATGTTTTCCCCCTTTGAATCAGCAACTTCAATGAAATTGTATTTACCAGCAAAATCATTATAAAAAATAAAATTTGTCTTGATGAAAATTAAGGTTTGATTATCATCAGAATAGTTATTTAAAATTAAATATTATTTACTTATAATAAAACCTAAGAATTTAACTCTGGGGACACTCAGGATTATCTTGCTTATTAAAAATTTCTCAGCCTAAATTGTTATGTTCTCAACCATGTGTGTATTAGTAAGTTTTGTATTTTTCCCCTTCTTGTTTTGATATCAAAGCATGATTCTGTAGAAATATTCTCAGAGTAGAATCAGGAGTGGCTATTGGAATATCTAAATATGTATATGTATATGTATTTTCACACACAGAGAGATACATACATATGCATGCAAACATTTATTGACACTCAATATATAAAAACAAACAAGTCAGTCCATAAAATCTCTTTCACTTGAATTATTACAAAAATTGAATAGTTTTCATAGAATTTAAGCCTACTGAATGCTTTGGCACCATTTCCTGCAATACCTGATTCTATGGGCAAAGGTACTTTTATATCACTTTTGCTTTCTTTTGGCTTCTGATACTTTTCGTCCCATTATATGTTTGTTAGATTTATTCTTTAGGATCCTAGACTTCTCTCTGGAGAGATGTGGTATAAATTGTTTTGCCTGTAAATATAACCTAGAGTCATTCTAGGAATTTTTGCTAATTCACAGGAAAAATACCTTCTAAAATACCTTCTAAACATATTTGCCTGTAAATATAACCTAGAGTCATTCCACGAATTTTTGCTAATTCACAGGAAAAATACCTTCTAAAATATCTTTTTGCTGATTCACAGGAAAAATCCCTTCTAAAATACCTTCTAAAAATATTTGCCTGTAAATATAACCTAGAGTCATTCTAGGAATTTTTGCTGATTCACAGGAAAAATTACCATGGACCAATTGTGAACATTTGAAACAGAGATGATCTGATAGTATAATATCACTAGCTTATATGTAGCCTTGTTTAGTTGTCTTTAGCACATTTATTCCAAAATAGAGTCAGATACATATACGCCAGGGCTCCTATAAGAAGACAACTGGAGAACAGAAAGAGCTAAACCTTAAACATTTTTTTATTCCACACTCTATAAACTTCTCTGTTTGTTATATTTTAGGTATATATAATATATCTGATATAACACATGTGCATAATTTATATATAATTTATTTTTTAAATTTATTTTTTTAATCAGCAGGGATGAATAATGAGAAAGGTTTAGAGCCTTCAGAGCATGAATTTCTCCAACTTAGTGATCCTTGTCTTCAATTTTAACAGACTCATCATTTGCTCTTTCCTGTCTTCTCAGAAATCATATATCCTCAGTGCAATAGGTAAGAAAAGTTACATTTCAAATTCTCATTTTAAAAAATTAAATATACTTTGTTTCCTTTTCACTAGACATAAGAAAACTCATCAAACCCACAGCTCCCTCTTTAGGTGATTTTAAATGTAAACAGATGGTTGCCTGATTCTGAAGCTCTCAGGTTACCTCAAAGGTTTTAAATCTTTGCATGGTGGAAATTCACCTTAGGCACAATTAGTCAGCAAAGAAACAAAAGCAATAGAAAAAATATAGTAACATTATAAACTAATATATCACAATCATGAATAAGAACTGCAATAAAATTAATTATAAGTAAATAGAAAATATACCTATTTAAATGTATAAATATTATTAAGTAAGAAAAATAAGAGAAAGCTTTAAGAATATATTCATCTCAAATTATTTATAGTAATGATAAATTGAAAACAACATCAATTAAAGAATGGATTAGAACCTGTCGTGTAGAATATCCACATGAATTGACCATAAGTCATTAAATTTATATTTATAAAAAGTTTATAATAGAATTCTATGCTTATATAATATTTGGGGTATAAAAATATAATAATACATAATTTTAATACATACTAAAATAATATATAATATATATTTTATATAATCACAACTATTAAAAGTCAAATATAAAAAAGTTACAGATTTTTCAAGGAAATTATCAAGGTAATCAGATTAAAGGCGATTATTTTTATTTTTATTACAGTTTTTTGAGTTTCCAATTCTACCATGAGTCTCAATTACTTTGAAAACCAATCTTTAAAATATTTAATATTTCTTAAAATTTATTAATGAAATTATTAATTAAAAATAACTAGAAATAGGTTTTCAAATGTGTAAAAATTGACACTTAAAGCACTTGTATTTTTTTTAATTATGTTCCACCAATTACAATAAATACATTAACTGGGAGCTGCTTAGAAGGTCTTGCTATAATAAGTAAGAAATTATTTTATGAAAGTGGTAAACTAAAAAAGCCATTTAAACCATGTTGAGCTTATAAATTATTTTTAACTGTAAGCCACAGCATATCTTGAAACCAGGTTATGAAGCTGGTAATTACATTATAAAGGAAAAATCATGTGAGTTAATATTTTCAACAAGCAACTGAGCACCAATGAATTTATATGACAAAAAAAAGCCAGAATAAATCTATAGTTCAAAAAGTTACACAAAGATTGTCAAAGGATAACTTCAAGACATGCAATTATTTGCATGCACATGAAGGCAAATGCTGTCAATGAGCAAAGAGAAAACATGAGGTTTGTGATGAGGAAGAAAGAAGAGAAAAAAATGCAAGCAGCCTGGAAATAATAAACCATGTTTTACATTTTAGGGGTAAAACAGCAACTAGCAAAGGGAATAGCCTAGATAGGCACCACTTGAGCAGATCGGCAAAAATCATCAAAAATAATTAAATTGTTATTATTTTTGGGTTATCTAAAAACCACAAGAAGTTGACTATGAAGTTAAACATAACTGTTCTATTATGTAAAATCTCCCACCATCTTTCTGGTCTACACTTCAAGGTTACTTACACAGGTCTGTACTTTACCATTTATATGAATATCTCAAGACTATAATTTTTTTAGGAATGTTTTATTTAATTATAATTATTATTATACTTTAAGTTGTGAGGTACATGTGTAGATCTTGCAGGATTGTTACATAGGTATACACATACTGTGGTGGTTTGCTGCCTCCATCCCCTGGTCACCTATATTACGTATTTCTCCTAATGTTATCCCTCTCCAACCTCCCCACCCCTGTTGTTCCTCTCCTAGCTCCCCACTTCCCAGCAGACCCCAGTGTGTAACATTCCCCTTCCTGCATCCATTTTTCTCATTGTTCAAAATCCACTTATGAGTGAGAACATGTGGTGTTTGGTGTTCTGTTCTTGCATCAGTTTGCTGAGAATTATGGTTTCCAGGTTCATCTATGTCCCTGCAAAGGACATGAACTCATCCTTTTTTGTGGCTATATAGTATTCCATGGTGTATATGTGCCACATTTTCTTTATTTAGTCTAGTATTGATGGGCATTTGGGTTGGTTGCAAGTCTTTGCTATTGTAAATAGTGCTGCAATAAACATACATGTGCATGTGTCTTTAAAACAGAATGATTTATAATCCTTTGGATATATACCCAGTAATGGGATTGCTGGGTCAAAGGAATTTCTATTTCTAGATCCTTAAAGAATCACCACACTATCTTCCACAACAATTGCATTAATTTACACTCCTACCAACAGTGTAAAAGTGTTCCTATTTCTCCACATCCTCTCCAGCATCAGTTGTCTCCAGATTTTTTAATGATCACCAGTCTAACTGGCATGAGATGGTATCTCAATGTGGTTTTGATTTGCATTTCTCTAATGACCAGTGATAATGAACATTTTTTCATATGTTTGTTGGCGACATAAATGTTTTCTTTTGAAAAGTGCCTGTTCATATCCTTCGCCCACTTTTTGATGGGATTATTTGTTTTTTTCTTATAAATGTGTTTTAGTTCTATGTAGTTTCTGGATATTAGCCCTTTTTCAGATGTAAATATTTTTTCCCATTCTGTTGGTTGCCGTTTTACTCTAATGGTTGTTTCTTTTGCTGTGCAGAAGCTCCTAAGTTTAATTAGATCCCATTTGTCTATTTTGGCTTTTGTTGTCATTGTTTTTGATGTTTTAGTCATGAAGTCCTTGCCTATGCCTATGTCCTGAATAGTATTGCTCAGGTTTTCCTCTAGGATATTTATGGTGTTCGGTCTTATGTTTAACTCTTTAATCCATCTGGAGTTAATTTTTTATAAGGTGTAAGGAAGGGGTCCTGTTTCTGCTTTCTGCACATGGCTAGCCAGTTTTCCCAACACCACTTATTAAACAGGAAATCCTTTCCTCATTGCTTGTTTTTGTCAGGGTTGTCAAAAATCAGATGGTTGTAGATGTGTGGCATTACTTCTGAGGAGTCTGTTCTGTTCCATGGGTCTATAACTCTGTTTTGGTACCAGTACCATGCTGTTTTGATTACTGTACCCTTGTAGTATAGTTTGAAGTCAGGTAGTGTGGTGCCTCCAGTTTGGGTCTTTTTGCTTAGAATTATCTTGGCTATGCAGGCCCTTTTTTGGTTCCATATGAAGTTTAAGGTGGTGTTTTCCAGTTCCGTGAAGGTCATTGGTAGCTTGATGGGGATAGCATTGAATCTATAAATTGCTTTGGGCAGTATGGCAATTTTCATGATATTGATTCTTCCTAACTATGAGCATGGAATATTTTTCCATCTGTTTGTGTCCTCTCTTATTTCCTTGAGCAGGGTTTTGTAGTATTCCTTGGAGAAGTCCTTCACGTCCTTTGTTAGTTGTATTCCTAGGTATTTTATTCTCTCTGCCGCAATTGCAAATGGGAGTTCGCTCATGATTTGGCTCTCTGTTTGTCTGTTATTGGTGTATAGGAATGCTTGTGATTTTTGCACATTGATATTGTTTCCTGAGACTGCTAAAGTTGTTTACATCTTAAGGATTTGGGCTGAGATGATGGGGTCTTCTAAATATACAATCATGTCATCCTCAAATAGAGACAGTTTGACTTCCTATTTTCCTAATTGAAAACCTTTATTTCTTTTGCATGCCTGATTGCTCTGGCCAGTACTTCCAATAATATGTTGAATAGGGATGGTGAGAGAGGGCACCCTTATATAGTGCCTATTTTCAAGGGAATGCTTCCAGTTTTTGCCCATTCAGTATTATATTTGCTGTGGTTTTGTCATAAATAGTTTTTATTATTTTGAGATACTTTCCATCAATATCTAGATTATTGAGAGTTTTTAGCATAAAGCACTGTTGAATTTTGTTGAAGGCCTTCTCTGCATCTATTGAGATAATTATGTGGTTTTTGTTTTTGGTTCTGTTTATGTGATGGATTCTGTTTATAGATTTGTTTATGTTGAACCAGACTTGCATCCCCAGGATGAAGCATACTTGATCATGATGGATAAGCTTTTTGATGTGCTGTTGCATTAAATTTGCCAGTATTTAATTAAAGATTTTTGCATCAATGTTCATCATGGATATTGGCCTGAAATTTTCTTTTTCAGTTGTGTCTCTGCCAGGATTTGGTATCAAGATGATGTTGATCTCATAAATGAGTTAGGATTCCCTCTTTTTTGTATTATTTGGAATAGTTTTAGAAGGAATGGTACCAGCTCCTCTTTGTATATCTGGTAGAAATCAGCTGTGAACCTGTCTGGATCTGGACTTTTTTTCGTTGGTTGGCTCTTAATTGCTGCCTCAACTTCAGACTTTGTTATTGGCCTATTCAGGGATTCAACTTCTTCCTGGTTTAGTCTTGGGAGGGTGTAAGTGTCCAGGAATTTATCCATTTCTTCTAGATTACTGGTTTATGTGCATAGAGTTGTTAGTAATAATCTCTTATGGTAGTCTGTATTTCTGTGGAATCAGTGGTTATATCCCTTTATCATTTTAATTGTATCTATTCAATTCTTCTGTTTTCTTTTTTATTAGTCTGGCTAGCATTCTATATATTTTGTTGATCTTTTCAGCTTTGTTTTTGGTTTTGCTGGATTTGTTGATTTTTTGAAGGGTTTTTTTGTGTCTCTATCTCCTTCAGTTTTGCTCTCGTCTTGGTTATTTTCTGTCTTCTGCTAGCTTTTGAATTTGTTTGATCTTGCTTCTCTAGTTCTTTTAATTGTGAAGTTAGGGTATCAATTTTAGACCTTTCCTTGCTTCTCATTTGGGCATTCAGTGCTACATATTTCCTTCTAGACACTGCTTTAAATGTGTTCCAGTAGATGTCTATTAGGTCCACTTGGCCCAGATCTGAGTTCAAGTCCTGGATATCCTTGTTAATTTCTGTCTCATTGAGCATTCTAATATTGAAAGTGGAGTGTTAAGGTATCCCACTATTATTGTGTGGGTGTCTAAGTCTCTTTGTAGGTCCTTAAGAACTTGCTTTATGTATGTGGGTGCTCCTGTATTGGGTGTGTATATAGTTAAGATAGCTCTTCTTGTTGCATTGATCCCTTTCCTATTTACATTATGTAATTCCCTTCTTTGTCTCTTTTGATCTTTGTTGGTTTAAAGTCCATTTTATCAAAGACTAGGATTGAAACCCCTTCTTTTTTTGCTTTCTATTTCCTTGGTAAATCTTCCTCCATCCCTTTATTTTGAGTCTATGTGTGTCTTTGCACATGAGATGGGTTTCCTGAATACCACACATTGATGGGTCTTGACTTTTTATCCAGTTTACCATTTTGTGTCTTTTGATTGGATAATTTAGCCCATTTACATTTAAGGTTAATATTGTTATGTGTGAATTTGATCCTGCCATTTTGATGCTGGCTGGTTGTTTTGCCCATTAATTGATGCAGTTTCTTCATTGTGTCAATGGTCTTTACCATTTTGTACATTTTTGCAGTGGCTGGTACTGGTTGTTCCTTTCCATGTTTAGTGCTTCTTTCAGGAGCTCTCATAAGGCAGGCCTGGTGGTGATGAAATCTCTCAGCAGTTGCTTGTAAATAAAAAATTTTATTTCTCCTTCACTTGTGAAGCTTAGTTCGGCTGGATATGAAATTTTGGATTGAAAGTTCTTTTTTTTAAGATGTTGAATATTAGCCCACACTTTCTTCAGGCTTATAGGGTTTCTGCTGAGATATCCACTGTTAGTCTGACGTGCTTCCCTTTGTGGGTAACCTAACCTTTCTCTCTGGCTGCCCTTAGCGTTTTTTCCTTCATTTCAACCCTTGTATATCTGAAACTTATGTGCGTTGGGGTTGCTCATCTTGAGGAATACCATTGTGGTGTTCTCTGTATTTCCTGTATTTGAATGCTGGCCTGTCTTGCTATGTTGGGGAAGTTCTCCTGGATAATATCCTGAAGAGTGTTTTCCAGTTTGGATTCATTCTCGTCACCTTGAGGTACACTGATCAAACGTAGATTAGGTTTTTTCACATAATCCCATATTTCTTGTAGGCTTTTTTGATTTCTTTTTATTATTTTTCTCTAATTTTGCCTTCTAATTTTATTTTATTGAGTTGATCTTCAATCTCTGATATACTTTTTCTGCTTGATTGATTCAGCTATTGAAACTTGTGTAGGCTTCACAAAGTTCTCGTGCTGTGTTTTTCAGCTCCATCAAGTTGGTTTATGTTCATCTCTAAGCTGGTCATTATAGTTAGCAATTAGTGTAACCTTTTTTCAAGGCTCTTAGTTTATTTGCATTGGGTTAGAACATGTACCTTTAGCTCAGAGAAGTTTGTTATTACCCACCTTCTGAAACCTGCTTCTGTCAATTTGTCAGACTCATTCTCCTACCAGTTTTGTTCTCTTGCTGGTGAGGAGTTTTGATCTCTTAGAGGAAGAGAGGCATTCTGGTTTTTTGATGATTTCATCCTTTTTGCACTGGTTTCTTCCCATCATCTCAGTTTTATCTATCTTTGGTCTTTGAAGTTGGTGACTTTCAGATGGATTCTCCAAGTGGACATCCTTTCTGTTGATGTTGAAGCTATTTCTTTCTGTTGTTTACTTTTCCTTCTAACAGTCATACCCCTTTGCTACAGGACAGATGGAGGTCCACTCCAGACCTGGCTTGTGTGGGAATCACCCATGGGGGCTGCAGAGCAGCAAGTATCGCTCCCTGTTCCTTCCTTTGGTACCTTTGTCACAGAAGGGTACCTGCCAGATGTCAGCCAGAGCTCTCCTGTTTGAAGTGTCTCTTTGGATATACAGGGGTCAGGGAGCCACTTGAGGAGGCAGTATATCCCTCCTCAGAGCTCAAGTGCTGTGCTGGGAGCTCCATTGCTCCCTTCAGAGCTGCTGGGCAGGGACATTTAATTCTGCTGCAGTGTAACTCACAACCACCCAACCCTTTTCCCAGGTGCTCTGTCCCAGGAAGGTGGGGCTTTATTTATAATTCTCTGATGCCCTGCTGCCTTTTTGTCAATGATGCTCTGCCCAGAAAGGAATCAGTCTAGTCACAGTTGGCCTGCAGAGGCATTGCTGAGCTGGCGGGCTCCACCCAGCTGCTGTGTAAACTTACTTGTGCTTTTGTTTATACGAGTAAGGTTAGAACTGCCTCAGTAATGGTGGACTGCCTCGGTAATGGCAGGCTGTCTCAGTAGTGGTGGATTTCCTCCATAGTGGCAGACTGCCTTGGTAACGGCAGACACCCTTCCCCCACCACCGAGCTCAACCATCTCAGGTCAAGCTCAAATTGCTGTGCTGGCTACAAAAATCCCAAGCTAGTGGGATTCAATTTGCTGGTCTCCATGGGAGTGGGACCCACTGAGACAGATCATCTGGCTCCTCGCCTTCAGTCCCCTTTCTCTCAGGGGTATGTGTGACTCTGTCTCACAGGTGATCCAGGAGCCAGCCAAAAGAGCTGCTCAAATTTGCACTGGAAACCCATGGTGCCTGTCAGCCAGCAGGAATCTCCTGGTCTATGGGCTGCAAAGACCACAGGAGAAGCAGAGCATCCGAACTGGCATACTGGAGTGACTGGAAAAGTCCCTGATGGTCTCCATTGGGTTGGGGGGTGTCTTCTGGCTATTGCACTTCCTGGGTGAAACAGTACCCCACCCTGCCTCAGTTTGTCCTCCTTGGGCTACACCCACTGTCCAACTAGTCCCATTGAGATGAACCTAGTACTTCAGTTGGAAATGCGAAGATCACTCATATTCTGAATTGCTCTCACTGAGAACTGTGCTCCAGAGTTGTTCCTATTCCTATAATTTGTAATAAACATTTTTAAAAATCAAAATAGGATTGTTAAACACATTGATTATGCAAGCATCCCAATTGTGGCTTAGAGATTTTTAAAGCACACATAATATAACATTATTGAATCAATATTTGATACAAAATTATTTGTCATAAACATTAAAAATTATGTAATTAATAATTTGGTTGGTTTTATTAGAATTTTAAAGGGAAGCTTTAAGATAAATTTGAAGCTCCAGGTTCCATGAAAAGGCAAATACTGCCCAATGAGATATGACCTACTGTATTGATTCTCTAAAAAAAAAAAACCAAATCATTTAAAAGCATTCCAGAAACTTTATTGTGGTTAGTTTTTACAAGTTCAAAATCACTCTAATCAAAAATATATATCACAGCATCTAAGTAGGTAACTCCACAAAGAATTCAAATTGGAAAGGTATTAAGGAAAGGCTCACAAATTTGATCTCATTTATTTTCATAACCCCAAAACAACTATTAACATTTAGAGTTGGAAAAGACAGTCAATCACATACCTTTTCATTCTTGAAGTTCAGACAATGGGTGAAGAAAAATAAACTAGGAGAATATTTCTCATGTTCAGAATGAGCCTCATGTCATTTTCAGAGTTACTGGAAAAGCCACTGTCAGTCATAGACTATCCATTGGCCACACAGAGCCTAATTTCAAAGGATTTTAAAAGGTAACTTTAAGAGTGCAAATTAGTGATAGTGTAAAGGAGATGCTACAGAAAGTTATTCCACATATGTGAATGCTTTTATAGTTCTTGAAACCTTTTTTCTTATAAAAGTCAAAGAATTGTGTTTACTTTGCGATTTTGTTTCAATTATTTATTTTAGATCATTATTTTTCACACTTAATATGAAAGTAAAGTAGCCTATCCCTTGTGCAAATTCCCACATTCTGTATTTGAGTCTAAACGTTTTATACAAATTATAAAATTTTAAATTCTAAATTGGATAGATTTTTATATTTCTATAAAATACTTCTAAAACTTAAATGTTCTATAATTAATTAAGATTTATTTTATGTTAGTGGTTACTTCTTTATACTCCTAATCTGTTATATAGCCAATGGTGCCTCATGTTCGACATTTTAAAATTTAAAAAAATCTGATTATCACAACAATTCATTATTTTTACCATACAGAAATGGAAAAATGCAAAGATACTAAGAAACTTTTCAAGATTGCAAGGCTGAGAGGTGCTTGATCAGGATTTGAATTCAGGTCTCTCTGATTCCAAAGCCCTCACACTTTCTACTATGTCAACTGGCCTCTGTCATGTGACAGAGGATAATGTTTTTTGCTATACTGTTAGTATTAACACTAATGGTAGTAATAAATAAAACTGAGAGTGTATTATATACCTTGCAATATTCTAAATGCTTTATACATATTTTTAATTATCAAAATGACCTTGTGAAGAGAATATTATTATAATATCCTTTTGCATATAGGTAATGTAAGTGAAGCACAAGAACATTTTTATATGTTGCATTTTTTTAATAGCAGCAGCATAATTCCTTATTTATCTTTATTTAAATTTTTAGTTATTTTTTATAATTTTTTAGTTATATTAGTGAATAGAAAAACATCTGTAAACATGATTTGCTGTTAACACTAAGGTAAGTATATTACCTGTGTTTGATTTTAATGAATTTCAAGTAAATTTGTTAATTTTTCTTTAATTTGCCAAGTATCAAGAAATATCTGATCAACCAAGTGGAGCCTTTCATCATAAACTGGACCTACCTGGGTTGTACCCTATTGGCCTTCATCTCATCCACATGCATCTACTCATCTGTACCACAATCATTTAACCAGATCGATTATTACCTTTTCAAACTTCAGAAAACACTTTATTTCCTTGTCTGTTTGCATCAATTCAAACTCCACCACACCCATCACAAACTCTAAACTAGGCACAGATCATCCTTGCTCAACTCAATTTAGGGAAAACCAGCACGCTCAATTTCAAGCAAGAATAGACCTAGTACACCTACCAATATAGCTAAATATTAAAATGACTGGTTTCCACCCAATATATGTCTTACAAACCTACCATATTGGAATCCTTACTCACAACACATTCTTAAAGCAATGTCAACAACTTCTTCTCTGTTAGCCCCTATTGTTACCATGTCTATAAATCCAACTCCTTATACCATTACTAAGTATCTTATTGCTATTGTCTTCACAACCACTCAAACCTACCCTACTAGAGCCTACTATAATTGATGCCCTCTCTAATACCAGCAAGTATGCTGCAATTCCTATTCAATACTCAGATATCATTGTTGTTTATGCCTGGGGCTATATGGCTATATTGAAGAGAGAGAGAGAGAAAGAGAGAGAAAGTGTCTGTGTATGTGTTGATAGAGCAGGATGAAAAATTATAAAACATCTCTCTCCCATCACAAAATTAAAACTCTATTTAAGGAAAGATAAATCAAACAAAAGTTTACAAATTTCATAAAGGATTTCAGGAAATTTCATGGGACTAGGCTATAGTAATGAGAAGTAGTAAGAAATACCACATTCACAATACCTGCTTTGTGTAGCTATTCAAGACAGAAATAAGCCACTGTGTAAATAGTGCCAATGTATGATTTTTTTAATAATATATTACTTTACATAAATATACTGCATGCACTCAAGATTCTAAGATTAGAATTCTAATACCTGATTAAATTATGATACTTTTTGTACATTAAGTTCTACCTGAAAGTCTTGTACACTACATTAGGAAATCATCATCCTGTTGGGATAAATTCTTCACAGCATGGTAATTCTTCTCTTGAACATCATCTAATCAATGCTACTCTATATGGACCCTAACATATTTCTCAATCCATTATAATAAAAGCCCTAATCTGATTATCATCATTAAATAGTTAGCATTTATTTAGTACTTGCTTATGTTCCAGGCAGTGTGAATGTAAGCACTTCACATTGATTTATTAATGTAATACTTAAACAATTCTAAAATAATGAAGAAAATGAAGCAAGAAAAGATGAAACGCAGCTCGGTATGAAATCCAGGCAGACTTCCTTCAGATACTCATTGCTTACCTACTGCAATATTTCTAAATATGCCTTTCTACATTAAAATTGTATATATGCTTGTCAATACCTAATGAATTTGGACTAACTAATTTGTGTATTTCTTTAAGTTAAAGAATAGAATAGGTTTCTTACATATTCTTATTCTTACTCAGTGTCACCTAATATAATGTACATTACTATAAAATTTCTCATGAATTCATTTCGGTGAAAGTATACTGGAAATTACATGTAACATCCCAATACTACTAAAAAGATACTAAAAGAAAACAAAGTAAATATTGACCTCAACTGCAAGAAACTTCAGAATTCATTCTTGAATATTAGTTACATAAGTTTTATGCCAAAATAAAAGTGGCAAATCTCATAAAATACATAAAGTATCATGGGGTTTCAGATTAGGGAAAAAAACAATTCAAGTTGGGCACATAAGAAGGTTTCCAAGGATGATAATATTTTATTTGGTCCCGACAGAACATGCAGATCATTGAGACCCCTAGGTTAGAAGTTTAGGAACATTTCAGAAAGAATGAAGAGCATCAGAAAAGCAACAAACCTTTCAGGAAAATATGATGTGGTATAGAGAGTCTAGAGCAAATTGTTCATGAAGAGAATAGTGGAGGAGAAAATAAGATAATAAAGGAGAAGCAGGGTTAAAATTGCATAGACTTTTAAATGAACTCTTTTCTACAGGAATAACCAGGACTTGCCCTTCTGCCGCTCACACCCTGCTAACTTCCTTCATTTCTCTAGGCACAATCTTATTGTCACTGCTATTTCCAAGAATCTACCACATATCACCACTTCCTCAGCGTCCACTGCTGATACAACTCCCCAAACAGCCTCTAAACCTGCTATTTCCACAAAGACCACATTAGCAAGAATGGTCACCAACATGTTCCCAAATGTACTCTATATCTCCTTCTTCAGAAACATGGGTACCTGTAACAACATCAGCATCAACCAACAAAATGTAGGCTAAGTTTAGCAACAACTGATCTAGAGGTAAATTGGCAACTGGACAAAAAGTTGCATCTGGAACTTCTCTGAATAATGAGAGCCCTAGCAAATTCAGGACTACCCTGAAACTTGGTAAGTCAGCGCTAAAGGTGATGACAATCATGTGGATTTTGACATTGACCTTGAAGCTGACACCACCTTTGAAAAGGGAACAATTGCTATTTCTCCAAATGATGTCAATGCCAATGGCATTTATGTTTCAATATAATATATGCAGTAGATAGTGTTCCAATCACAATTTGAAAAAAGTATGCAAGGGAATGTGTTAAGGACCAAGCTAGAGAAACAAGTGTGTAGCACTGTGGTAATTAATTAGGAAATAAACTTTCATTTTAAATTCTCTATTGATTACTGTCACAAAAAAAAACTTACTGTGATTTCCTATTGCCATATAGTATAATACTTTGAAAACTAAAAATGACACTTTATAGATGAATCACTTGAAGAGATACTATGAAGAACTTCAGGCATATACTAATTTACAGTAGCTGACAAAATCCACATTAATCTTCAACTTCATTTGCCAATACACTTTTCTATATTTTTGGCCATTATTTCCAGGTTCTGTTGTTCCCCAAATTCCTAATACTAGAATATATAAATATACTGCTGCAGTTTCTGCTACTATTACTACTAACAGCAAGAATAATAACACCTCTATAGTGCCTACTATGGGTTAGGTACTTTTATGAATATTTTACTTATACCAATTCATTAAATCCTCATAACATCCCTATGAAATAAAAATAATCGTTATCCTCAGTTTATAGAGAAAACTGAGGCGTGGAGAGAGTAAGTCATTTGTCGAAGGTCACACTGCTAGTAAGCAGAGAAAACAATGATACTCAAATATGTCTGGCTTTGTAGTGTTTGTATCTGACCGCTGTCCTGCATTGCAGCTCAACATCAGTTTCCAACTAAAAACAGTCATATTTTAGTATCAGCTGATGTTTTCAATAATCTTTCCATTTTTATAAGACATAATCAGTAAATAAGATTTCTTAGAAATTTAGTGCATTTTTATCAGGAAATATGTTACTGGGGGAAAATGCAAATAATTAGTTCAGTTTCTCAGGTTTTTAAATAGAACTCAAAGAATGCTTTCGGAATAAAGATATTGTATAATAAAAATGGTAGCTAATATTGGATAAATAATGAGATAGGAGTCTGCAACTTAATAGTTGCTGATATCTAAAGACAAGAATCCCCAACTCTCTTGTCTATGTCCCAATATCTAGCTAATAGAACTATAATTGTAAATTTGACAAAGGGATATATACTGGTTATTATTCTGAAGCAAATGGAAAACTTACATGCAAAAGAAAGCAAATCACATTATGAGTCAAATCAGTGGGACAGTCTTAAATGTATGTGGCATTTCTGGTTTGAAACTGATGACCTCAAATCTCAAGAAAAGACAGCATTATATATTGTTCTATTACTGGCACATTTACCATATTGTTGATTATCCAGCAGGCATCCAACTCAAGAGCCTCTTGGAATCAAAGGTGGTATAAATAATATTGTGGTAAAGGAATTGTCCAGTTGAGATGTGTTGAATCTATTAAAAGACACCAATGGAAAAAGAAGGCCATTATTTTTCATTTAACCTTTCATTAGCACCATTATTACTATTAACTGATGCATACTCAGTACTAAATACAGAGCCCCCAAAATAATACTTATTTAATATTTTTTAATAAATTAGTACATGGAATGTATTACAATGCTTTCAGTATGAGATTTAAGTTATAATCAACATATTTACATACAAATCAGTTAAGGTAAACAGTTGTTCATTCAACTAAATATATAAATTAGTTAAATTTTAATTTATTAACCAGACACACAAGTGACTTTACAGTGTATTTCATGCATTACTAATGTTATCATATAAATTTAACAACATCTTGTATTGTGAATTTGGAAGATATTTCCATTTTTTAAAGATGAGGTTAAGTAACCTCTCTAAAGTCAGATAGCTACTAAATGACAGGTAGAATTTAAACATAGTACTAATTTCAAGACAACTACATTTACTATCATATATATATGATATTTACATGTTAAAAATAGTAAATGATAAAATAACAACCAAGCAAAGTAAGCTTCACGTAATTGAGAATACATTCAGAAAGCTCTAAAATGGGCTGGGTATGGTGGCCAACACCTGTAATCTCAGGACTTCGGGTGTCCAAGGTGGGTAATTCACCTGAGGGCAAAAGTTCTAGACCAGCCTGACCAACATGGCAAAACCCCATCTCTACTAAAAATACAAAATTAGCTGGGTGGGGCGGCACATGCCTGTAATCCCAGCTACTCGGGAGGCTGAGGCAGAAGAATCACTTGAACCCCAGAGGCGGAGATTGCAGTGAGCTGAGGTTGTGCCATTGCACTCCAACTGGGGAAATTAGAGGGACACTCCATCTCAAAACAAAAAACAAACAAACAAAAACTCTATAATGGTGCAAATAAAATAATTCTGATAGTTAATTTCAAACTGAACAAGAAAGGTGTAGCTACATTTTTTACAAATAAAGCTATTTTTAACAATATTTAAATATATATTAAGCAATTAGAATAATCGTGGTTTCAGCTTTCTCCTTAAATATTTTCATACACTGATTATTTCAATTCTACTCAAATAACAAGGAAGTAAATTATGCAAAAATAGAGTTGATTAAAGTCCTAAAACTATAAGAATGTATGACAACATATTAATTACTATATATTACTACTAAATATGCTTTTCTTTGATAAGTTGTTCAAAAAAGAATGATAGCTCCGAAATAACAAAATAAATTGCTAAAATAACTAATCTTTACTTATAATGGTCTTGAGAGAATATGCAAAGGACAAATTTTCTTTACAGAAAACAAATATATTTATTTCATTGTTACTGTTTCAAGATTCACCTGTAACAATCCTATCTACACAAAATGTTTTCTTCTACTTTTGTCACCCACACCCCCTCTTCACCAAAGTAGGAAAGACACAGAAACCAAGTTACTTTATCAAGTGAAAGAATGGCTTCATTAGTTCTCTCTATATATAAGATATGAGACATATGGATACTTGGGGACACTGTTCAGGTTCAAAAAGAACAGCTACTGACCAGAATTCAAGATACCCCTACAAAGGTATCTAGTTGTATAACCCTATCTCTTATTCATTTCTGCTTCAGGTATGTATTAATTTCTCTATCACTTTATCAAAGGAGGAAAAGAGTCCAGGAATAGTTTTCAAATCAATGATGATATAGTGAGCCTAAGAAGGTATGATTTAAAAAAAAAAGAGAGAGAGAGAGAAAAACACAGTTCATTAAGCAGTTGAATCCTTTAGAGAAAGACCTATAAGTCATCAGGTATAGAAGGTACTCACATGAAGGAAATGTATGGCTATGTGCAGGAATTCTACAGAAGGAGATTATAGGAGAAATGAGGTGAAATCCTATATAACCCCAACCTATAAGGGATAGAGCAAAGAAGGTGGCTAAAAACTAGGGAAAAGCCAGAAAGGGGTAATTAACAGAGGACAAGGGGTAAGAGAGGGTCTGGTGAAAATATCAAGCACTGCAGAATGAATAAGTAAAAGATAAACTTAAACAAAAGTCCATTGCTATTGGCAACAAAGATGGTGCTAACAAACTTGATAGTAATTTCAGGGAAGTGGTGAGGTGAAATGCTAGATTGCAGTGGATTAAGGAGGAAGAGGTATAAAATTGAGATTATTTTCTAATATCTTCTAAACAGATTGACTATGAAGTAAAGGACTTTTAAGAGAGTAAATGGAGGTAGAATCTAGATTGTAGACCAGGGATGGCCAGCCTTTGGCTTCCTTGGGCCACATTGGAAGTTAAATTGTATTGGGCCACACATAAAATACACTAATACTAATTATAACTGATGAGTTTTTTCTTTTTAATCACAAAAATCCCTCATAATGTTCTAGGAAAGTTTACAAATTTAAAGTTTTCCTGGGCCACATATGGCCAACAGGCTCCAGATTGGACAAGCTTACAAGCTTGTGGTAGACTGGGAAGGTTTTTAACATGTTTAAAAGTTAACGATAAGCCCTGGAAGAAGGAGAGATTACTAAATTAAAAAGATCATCTATGACAAATTTAATTACTCAACATGAGGAATAAAAGTTGAATTAAAAAAACAGGTTTATGAATAATATCTGCAGTGATATACATAGCTAAAATAATTTAATAAATTCTTACATGTGGCTTTCTATGTACTATGCTAAAAACACATGAGATACATGTACAACCGAAAAAATAAAAAACACCACCTCTGCCCTCATAGAATGTAAAGTCCGGCATAGAAATCGGCTATTACACATATATAAATACATAAACACAACTATGAATTTGGTAATTATTTTGAAAACAATCGCTATAAGCACTATGAGAACAAATATGAGACAATGAAGAGTTCCTTGAAAAAGTAATTCCAAGCTAGTATCAAAACACTAACATAAAACTCTATTGTTTAGAAACTCTCAGAGTTAACAGGACAAGATGAAGATTTTAACATTGATTGGGTTCACCCTGGCCATTGCCACTTGTTTCCTGTAGGAACTCACTCAGGATGGTGGCAAAAATATTAAGGGAACTATAGCAGAGAAAGTTCATAGAATATAGTCTCAAATTCTTTTAGAAGGCCTAAGGGATTTTTCATAGTTTCAGTAGAAGTTTCAGCTGAAGGCAGCCTAAATTCCCTTTACATTTAGTTAACAAGTAAAGCAAATAGCTGGGGTATGTGGGGGAGTTTACCTAAATAACTTGTTTCCTCATGTGGTCTCAAAACTAAACTTTGAGCTGGATGGCCCCTCTCAGGGGGAGGTGAACCAGGGATATTGTCAACTAATGGTGTTTATTTTGGGCATCAGAACCTGACCTTCAATCTTTCTCTGCAAGTCTTGACTTAAAGCCTCAGTTATTACATCTATACTGAATAAACGTGGAAGGAGTGAGCTGGTGAGTGTCAAGTAGCTGCTATCTCTCTCTGTGAGAGGCTCATGACCCCTCAGCCAACTCGTTCACTATATTCTGTGTGTGAGTGCATTTATTCATCTGTCGTGCAGCTAGGGTCTGGGGAACAGTCCCCAGCAGTTTCCCAATGAAGACTTCATAGAATGGAAGCCTAGAACTCCCTAATACTGAGAAACAGATTTTAGAATGAGAAAATGGCACTGGGGTTTTATAAGCTGGACAGAGTCAGGTGGAAATTAAATATATATATATTTCATTTCTTAATTATATGAATATGCCTACTTATAATCTCCTCAGATAGAGGAGAAAAATAAAATGAATTGAAAGCAAGAATCGAGGACAAAAAGAGAGTTCATAGGAAAATCAGGACCAAAACCATTCAGAGAATTTGAAACATTTTCTTAGCAGGTTGCGGGGACTGGAATTAAACTTGTGAATGATATTAACAAAGCCTGTGCTGCCCTTCCAGGCCCACATCCTTCCATCTCTAACACATGTGTGAGTAGTGTCCTCTGAAGTCTACATAAGGAGGGATCCACATCTCAAACTTCTTTCCTTTCAGCTAATTGAGACTATGATTCTAACTTAAAAAGAAAAAGCAATCGTTTTTTCCCCTCAAACATCAAATATACAGTTGATTCACAAACTGAACTATTCAGAAACACATATTCTATAACAAGATTGTTACTAGCTTTGCTAGGACTGAGCCCGTTAATTTTAGACACTATATTCTGGTTTGTCTAAATATCTCATGAAAGACTCATTAAATAATTTCTTATCCTTTTCCAGCTTGATTATACATGATTTACAAGCATCATTTTTTTGTAAAACAGCATTATTTTCATAATGTTCTATAGTTTCAATTGTTTTTCAACAATCTGCACAAATTATTTTAGACACAGACAGTTTTTCAAGTTTCATTCTATTCTTTTTCTTTCATTTCATAGAGAATCATTACCACAACATTCTAGGGCTTACATGAGTCTTTAACTCACAACAAAGTTGTAAAACATATTTTCTGTAGTTTGTTAAAATTGAGTCTCTTGAATTGACTTCTAAACAAATTACTTCTGATTACATTAGAGTTTAGCCACAGCATTATCTTTGAGTTTCATAGACTTTGGTGCCTTATTGTAATAACCTCTTTACTACTTTCTTTAGTCTATCATATATAAATATGTTATATTTAATTCACAATGCAAAGCCAAAAATTAATTACAAATTTCATAGTCACAGCTGTAAAATGTCATCAATTAAAATTGACTTTACCAACCAATTAAAATTGACTTCTCTAAATTAGATTTTAGTATTTCATAGAATTATGTAAGAAATTCTGTGAGATAGAGACACAGTTTCTTTTTACAACCCATTAGTCTATTTCCAGAAGACAGTATTATTTCTTTAACAATTATTTGTGTTTTATTTCTGATTAATTTCTTAAGTCTTATTACTCCCAAGATGAAAATATCCACAGCAATAATAAATAAGGTCACTTTATGCTCTGGGATCCTAGATGAACTTGAAAGGCAATCTAGGACATAAGAACTGCAATTCCTAGGCAACTCCTAGTGCTAGCCTGGACTAAGAGCCAGGGTCCTAGAAAGGCGTGTGACCTGGGGAGACACCAAGGGGCAAGTGAGAAAGTGCTTACTCCCACCCTTTCCCCAATCCCAGGCAGCACAGCTCAAAACAAGGAAAGTGGCTCCTTTCTTCTGCTTAAAGAAAGAAGAGCAAAAAGTAAAGAGGACTTTCTTTGTCTTGCATCTTGGATACTACTAGCTCAACTACAGTAGGACAGGGCAATGAGCAGAGTCAGGAAACACCCATTTCAGGCACTAGTTCATGGAGAGCATTTCTAAACACACACTAAGCCAAAAGGGTATCCACTGTCTTGAAGAAAAGGACCCAGTTCTGGCACGGTTGATCATCTGCTGCCTAAGAACCCTTGGGCCCTGAATAACCAGAAGCAAAGCCAGGTAGTATGCTGTGGGCCTTGGATGAGCCTCTGAGTCTTGCTAGATTCAGGTGTGACCCTAGCTAGATTCTAGCTGTGGTGGCTATGGGGAAAGCCTCCTTCTGTTTGAGAAAAGCTGAGGTAAAAGTAAAAGGAACTTTGTCTTGTTCATTAGGTACCAGCTTGGCTATAGAGTAGTAGAGCAACAAGCAGGCTTTGGAGGTCCCTAGGTGCAAGCCTGAGACATCGATCAACACCTGTGGAGGTCTGTCCTGCAGACCCTGACTTAACGATGAATAAATGAATGCTCTTTCACACCTATTGCAGTGATTCAAGTGGGCTAGGGATGGTTGTTGGCTGCTTTCAGAGGGCAACTGCTGCCAATCAATCAAGATCCCCTGTTCCACCCTCACATTTATTCAGTAAAGATTTCGTAACAGAGGTTCTAAGTCAGCATGCTTGTGAATAATTAACATGGTTAAAAGAGTGGTTTTATGAATGACAAAAGCTTTAGATACCAGGGCACAGAGTAAACACTATTAACAGGCAATTCCCCTTGATTTCCTGCTGAGAAAACCATCCAACACGAAGTTTACATGAGTAAACAGTTAGAGTAGAGACAAATGAATGTGTGGTAAACAGACCTAACTGGGAGGGCCTCTTATTGTCTGTATCTTTTCCCTAATCTAATGTAAATGAGCTGGCTGTCTCCAGCCTGTCCCAATAAAACTTTTCAGCTTTCCAAAAGAGTTAAGACTATAATTTACAACTTTCCCTAGTATTTCCCTAATATTTTGCCAGCCACCCCGAGTGAATTCCAATATCCCCCCTTTATTTGTTATTAAAATTAGGCTTTGTTTTCTGCTGACCACTGATGCATTCAGCAATGAGTCTGTCAGACAAGGTGGTCCTTGCTCTTATTACAACCTTGCATCCTAGGATTAACAAATAACATAAGACAATTATGAATACAGTTAGCCACATTCCTTTCCGGTTAAAGAGCGACTCCCAGGAATAGGGGTCCAACCAGAAGAGATGATCTTGCACACCTTTCCATATGGCTGTTTGTTGGGTGTGTAGATCTACAGTATGAAGGGATTCTAGAATTCTAGTTTTAAGTTGCTTTATGTCTGCTATTAAATCATCTTGAATGGTTCCCCAGAAGTGTTGCTCAACCTCATCCCAAGCATGTACTAATTGATTCTATGGTAGAGAAGTGACACAATATGTTTATGTTCCCACTCACAACTTAATTGCTGTCGGAATGCCAGTGCATCCTGTTGCTCCCCACATATTCTACAGCAGCCTCAAGTGCTTGCAGATGTGCAAAATTTTTTTATCTATACCTTGCCTGAAGACAAGTTCATTTGACACATTGTTTGCCAGATTATCTACAAAGGCAGCTATCCCTACTGACTCGGTAATAGATGCCACTGCAACACTGGCAGTTGCCAGGATGACTATGGCTGAGACTATAAAAGCTATAAGTATAACTATGAATCTTTTGTGTCTGACCCGTAATGTTACTTGGCATTTCAGCTTACTGTATGCCATTAATGAGGAACTTCAGTGGTGGTATGTTAATTTCTTTTAGCCAAGCAGTATTTGTTAGAAGCTGTGAAAGGAGTGTTAGTTTAAGTTACAGAGCAAAAAAAATGTAGATTAGAAAATGAGCTTGATAGAATGTAGCAAGTACAGGTTACAGGTAGAGTGAAGGAATAAAAAGGAAACAAACCCTAAGCATGATTTCCTTAGTCTTCTGCGTTGTCCTCTTCAGCATTCTCCAGGTGAGGTCCAGGGCTTGTGTCATCCTGTAGATCTTTCTTCTGCTGGCTTGAGGTTTTTCTTCTTTCCATCATTTGATGAGAATGCAGTCTCTTAGCTGGTGCTGGTGTGCTGGAAATTCTAGTGGTTGTTCCTATGCTAAGAAACTTTTTACAATCTTTGTAAAAGAACAGGTTAGAGCTTTAAGAAAAATCTGTTGTGCTTTATTTTAATGTCCAGTTAACAGAAAAACTAGATGATACTTCCTTAACTTTTTAACTAATATCTTTACACACAGAATTTCTTTTACATTAATGTTTTAAAACTTGCTTAGACTTTCAAAACAAAATTTATGGAATCTACTTGCATAAATTCCCTTCTATAATATTTTTCTTTCTACTCCTCTCTCTAATCTTTCTGTTTCTGTCTGTCTTGGTCAAGCAGTGATGTTATCACTTGTAAGTCTGCTTGCTCATTGCCATAAGCCAATAGGCCAGGCAGTGTGCTGTGTGCTCAAGATTAGACTTAAAAAGTTGTTTCAGGATTTTGTAGTAGATAAACTGAGTAAGCTGAGTCACTTACTATATTTATCAGCCAAGCTGAAAAAGTTTTTAATGCTAGTATCATAGCTTTAATCTCAGCTCTCTCACTGCTAGTAAACATAGATCAGGTGATTGAATTATGGGTTCTCTGCCAAACTGCAGCTTTTTCTTGTTTACCTAATCCATCAGTAAACAGTGTTAAAGCATTAGGTATGCAGAAGTGCAATACTTCTTGGAATTGCTCTTGATGGAATCTTGATGATATCAGGATCATAACTTAGCAACTGACTGCATTAATCATTATGATAGCAAGCTGAGATAGGTAACATGAAGTCTTAAGAAGAAATCTGAAAATATCTCTAGAAGCAGAGACTTAAAGAATATAATTTAACCATGAGCTGACAGCCACAGGCAGAATAGCATAAATCTTGCAATTGAGTTTTCAGTCTGACTAAGTTTATGAACTTAAACTGGAAAACAATTCTGAAAACAGTGACTTAATAGTAGAGCAAAGACTATCTCTAATCAGTCTTTCATGCATACGTCTTTCATACTTAACATACAACGTCTTTTACCTTCTGAGAATGGGCACAAAATTTTTACTTCTTAATTTAACAAATATTATTTAATTTGGCTTAAAGTTTTCCTTTAAAGGATAATGTGTGGTTTTACACCCTTAGTTTTTAATTGCTCTTTAATTTGTGGGCCTTCTTTTATAGCCGATTAAATTTGTCATCTACATTTACAGAATTACTAGTAAATAAGGCTTGTGCTGGTAGTGTTGCCTTTTAAAATAGAAACGTGGTTTTGCAACTTAGCAGTCAATTAGGAAATTCTTTTCTACTAAAGAACAAAGCTACATGGCTGGCTCTTTATGGCTCCTTACTAATTCATGGGCTAGCTGTAATTTCTCTCCCTTCAGAGGTTACTGTTTTACTTAAACTGGATTTTTAAAGAGCAATGTTAAGGGTAGGTTTGGAATAACAACAGTGACTAATGTTAGAAAAGGGTTTTACAAATTCTTAAATTTACTTAAATCTTAGCAGAGAATTACTATTTGAGATGTTGCTTGTATAAAAGGAACACATGAAATTTCACTGTGGAGAGCAGCTGTAGCAGCAGCAGCATGAGTCCAGGACTACAACCATGCTGGCCCCACTCAAGTGCTGCTTGCTGCTGGCTCCACACCACCTCCCCACTGGCCTACGAGGTTGCTGGCTTGGGTGAAGCTTCTCCGCCAGAGTCTTTTTATTTATTTATTTATTTATTTTTATTTTACTTGGCCACACCACTCCAGACTGTAATGTCTTCTTTTTCTTTTATAAACAAAACATACACCTGATTGCCTTGCTGATCATCAGTTACCGGGCAGGCTAAGAGTTTCTTCTGTAATGCTGCTTGCTTAAGACTAGTTTCTATAGCTGTAATGTTTCCTTGGCCTTTTTTCCTATTCACTGGATGACTTTGTGCATGATCTCTCCCCACTTGTTCCCAGAGCTTTACATCCAGCATGCTATCTGCTGAGAATCATGGGTCTTGGGAAGCAGCAGTTTGAATTACGTTCTGTGCTTTTATCCGTTGAGCTGATAACTGTTGTTCCATGATGAATCCCTAGCCTGAAAGAATTCCTCCTTGAGTTTAGCAATCCCTAGTAGGTACCAATGACTTACTGACTGCTTGACATGACCGCACAGTCCTCTCTACCTTCCAGTTCTTGGGAAGTCCACTGCTCCTTCTTCACAGAGATGATCACATCAGTTCATTCTGTGTTCAAGCGCCTGCTGTGATGGATATCACATTGGGTCACCACCTGAGATGTCAATCACCACCTGTGGAGGTCTGTTCTGCAGACCCTGACTTAATGATGAATAAATACACTCTCACATCTATTTTGATGATTCAAGTGGGCTAGGGATGGTCATTGGCTGCTTTCAGAGGGCAACCACCACCAATCAACCAAGACCCCCTTCCCATCCTTACATTTATTCAGCAAAGATTTTATAACAGAGGTTCTAAGTCAATACGCTTGTGGATAATTAACATGGTTAAAAGAATGGTTTTACAAATGATAAAAACTTTAGGTTCTGGGGCCCAGAGCAAACATTATTAAAGGGTAATTCTTTGATTTTCTCCAGAGAGGACCATCCAGCACAAAGTTTACATGAGTAAACAGAGTAGAGACAAAGAAATTTGTGGTAAACAGACTTAACTGGGAAGGCCTCTTATTGTCTCTATCTTTTCCCTAATCTAATGTAAGTGAGCCAGCTACCTCTAGCCTCTCCCAATAAAACCTTTCAGCCTTTCCAAAAGGTTTGAGACAATAATCTATAACTTTCCCTAATATTTTCATAATATTTTCCAGCCACCCCAAGTGAATTCCAACACAAGCCTAGCTCTTAGCATTTTCGGACCTGCGATAGGCCAGAGAAAAGCCCACTCTCCTAAAGGGTGAGTCCCAGGCCTGGCAGTATTCAACAGAAGCAGATCAAAGAGTCCTTGGGTGTTTTTCTTTATTTTTAATTGTACTTTAGGTTCTGGGACACATGTGCAGATCATGCAGGATTGTTGCATAGGTACATACATGGCAATGTGGTTTGCTTCCTCCATCCCCCTGTTACCTATATCTGGCATTTATCTCATGTTATCCCTCCCCAGTCTCCCCTTAAGTAAACATTGACAAAGTCCTGGCAGTACTCTTTGAGGGCCTGTGGTGATAGTAGCCACAGGTGAGAGGATCCTGTGCCTGTGGAAAGAGGAAGGGAAAGTACAAAAGACTTTCTCTTATAGTTTGAGTGCCAGCTTAACTGCAATAGAATTGAGTACCAGCTAGATTCCCAAGGTTTTTATTCCAGTCCTTAGCTCTTGGTTGGCATCTCTGGACTCACCTGAGGTCTAGGAGAACTTGCCACCCTGAAGGAAGGAAGAACTTAAACCTGGCTAGCTTCTCCACTTGATGATCAAAGAGCCCTAGGGCCTTCAGTGAACATAGGTTGTATTCAAGTAACAGTTACAGTGGGTCTTCAGCAAGAACAAGTGCTATGCTGGCTTCAGGTCTGACCCAACAAAGTCCCAGTAGTGGTGGCCACAGGTGAGCTTGCATCAACACACCCTAGTTCCAGGTGGCTCAAAGCAAAGAGAAAGAGACTCTGTTTCTTTGGGATAATGACATCAAGAAGAACAAGAGTCTCTGCATGGTAATCCAGAGAATTCTTCCGGATCTTATCCAAGACCGCCAAGGCGGTACCTCTATGAATCTGCAAAACCACAGCATGATTGGGTGTAGGGCCCAAGTACCTTCAAAAACCTGAAAAACTTTCCTAAGAAAGACAGGTACAAAAAAGCCCAAATTGCAAAGACTACAATAAATACCTAAGTCTTCAATGGCCAGAGACAGATAAACATCTACAAACATCAAGACCATGCAGGAAAACATAACCTCACTAAAGGAACTAAATAAGGTACCAGGGACAAATTCTGGTGAAACAGAGATATGTGATATTTCTGACAGATAATTCAAAATAGGCATTTGAAGAAACTCATAGAAATTCAAGATAACACAGAGAAGGTGTTCAGAATTCTCTCAGATAATTTTTTAAAATTGAAATAATTAAAAAGATTCTAGCAGAAATTCCAGAGTTGGATAATGCAATTGACATACTGAAGAATGCATCAAAGTCTCTTCATAGCAACATTAATCAAGCAGAAGAATCAGTGAGCTTTAAGACAGGCAAATAAAATACACAGTCAGAGGAGACAAAAGGAAAAAAAATTTTAAAAATATATAGCCTATCTACAGGATCTAGAAAATCACCTCAAAAGGACAAATCTAAGAGATTTTATTGGCCTTAAAGAGGAGGTAGAGAAAGAAACAGAAATAGAAAGTTTATTCAGAGGGATAATAACAAAGAACTTCCCAAACCTAAAAGAATATCCAAATACAAGAAGGTTATTGAACACCAAGCAGATTTAACTACAATAGTACCTCAAGGCATTTAATAACCAAACTCCAAAGGTCAAGGATAAAGAAAGCCTCCTAAAAGGGGCAAGAGAAATGAAACAACATATAATGCCACTCCAATATGTCTGTCAGTTGACTTTTCAGTGGAAGCCTTACAGGCCAGGAGAGAGCGAAATGACATATTTAAAGTCCTGAAGAAAAAAAAAATTTACCCTAGAATAGTATATCTGGTGAAAACATCCTTCAAACATGAAGGAGAAATAAAGATGTTCCCAGACAAACAAAACCTGAGGGATTTCATCAATACCAGATCCATCCTATGAGAAATGCTAGCCAATAACAAGTAATGAGACCAAAGTCATAATATAGTTGCCCAGCAAAGAAAGGCCTGGAACCTTATGGCTTCACTGCTGAATTCTACCCAACATTTAAGGAAGAGCTAATACCAATCCTGCTCAAACTATTCTGAAAAATAAAGAAAGAGGAAATACTTCCAAACTCATTCTACTAGAATAATATTTCACTGATACCAAAACCAGACAAACACACATCAATTAAAGAAAACTACATGCCAAAATCTCTGATGACTATTGATGCAAAAATTCTCAACAAAATACTAGCAAACCAAATTCAGCAGCACCTTAGATCACTCATTATAATCAAGTGGGATTTATCCTTGGGATACAAAGATGATTCAAAATACACAAATTGTTGTGATACATCATATCAATAGAATGAAAAATAAAAACCATATGATCCTTTCATTTGATGCTGAAAAGCATTTGATAAAATTCAGCATTTCCTCATGATAAAAACCATCAGAAACCTGGAGATAGAAGTAACATATTTCAACATAATAAAAGCCATATACAACAGACCTAAAACTAGTATCATACTGAATGGGGGTAAACTGAAAGCCTTCCTTCTAAGATGTGGAACAGAACAAGGAGGCCCACTTTCACCACTATTACTCAAGATAGTACTGGTAGACCTAGCTAGAGCAATCAGACAGGAGAAGGATACAAAGGGCATCCAAATTAAAATGAAAGAAGTCAAATTATCTTTGTTTGCAGATGATATTATCTTATATTTGGGAAAAACCTGTGGGCTTTACCAAAATACTATTAGAATGGATAAACAAATTCAGTAAATTTGCAGGATACAAAATCATCATACAAAATCAGTAGTATTGCTACATGCCAACAATGAACAATGGGAAAAAGAAATTGAAAAGTAATATCATTTGAAATGGACACACATAAAGTTAAATACCTAGAAATTAACCAAATAATTAAATTATCTCTATAATGAAAACTATCAAACACTAATGAGAGAATTTGAAGAGGACACCAAAAATGTAAAGATATTTTATGTTCATGGGTTAGAAGAATCTTTGTTACAATGCCAATATTTCCCAAAGCAACCTACAGATTCAATGCTATCCCTATCAAAATACCAATGACATTCTTCACAGAAATAGAAAAAAAAAAAAGCCCTATAATTTATATATAACCACAAAAAAATGTAGAATGGCCAAAGTTATCCTATGCAAAAAGAACAAAACTGGAGAAACCACATTACCTAATTTCAAATTATAGTAGAGTTATAGTAACCAAAACAGCATATTACTGGCATAAAAACAGTGACATGGATCAATGGAATAGAATAATCCACACACCTATAGTGAACTAATTTTCGACAAAGGTGCCAAGAACACATATTGGGGAAAAGACAGTCTCTTCAATAAATGGTTCTGGGGAAATTAGATATTTATATGCAGAAGAAAGAAACTAGAATCCTGTCTCTCACCATATACAAAAATCAAATCAAAATGTATTAAAAACTTAAATCTAAGACCTCAAACCATGAAACTACTACAAGAGACCCTTGCGGAAAATCTCCAAGACATTAATCTGGGCAATAAAGCAATACTCTACAACACAAGAAACCAAAGCAAAAATGGGCAAATAGGATCACATTAAGTTGAAAAACAAACTTCTGCACAGCAATGGAAACAACCAATAAAGTGAAGAGACAACCCATAGAATGGGAAATATTTGCAAGTTACCTATCTGACAACAGATTAATAATCAGAACATTAAGGATCTCAAACAACTCTATAGGAAAAAATACTAATAATTCAAAGAATGGGCAAAATATTTGAATAGACATTTCTCAAAAGAAGACATACAAATGGCAAACAGGCATATGAAAAGGGGATCAACATTATGGATCATCAGAAAAATGCAAATCAAAATTATGGTGAGATATCATCTCACCCCAGTTAAAATGGCCTTTATCCAAGATGCAGGCAATAAAAAATGCTAGAGAGAATGTGGTGAAAAGGGAATCCTCATACACTGTTATTGGGAATGTAAATTAACATAATCACTATGGAGAACAATTTTGGAAGGTCCTCAAAATCTAAAAATGGAGCTGCCATATGATCCAGTAATACCACTGCTGGGTGTATACGGCCCAAAATAGAAATCAGTATATCAAAAAGATAACTGCATTCCCACATTTGTTGCATCACTATTCACAGTAGCCAAGATTTAGAACCAACCTAAGCATCCATCAACAGATAAATGGATAAATAAAATGTGGTACTTATACACAGTGGAGTACTGTGTTAGTCCGTTCTCACACAGCTGTGAAGAAATAACAGACTGTATAATTTATAAAGGAAAGAGGTTTAATTGATCCACAGTTCCACATTGCTGGGAAGGCCTCAGGAAACTTACAATCATGGCAGAAGGCAAGGGAGAAGCAGGCACCTTCTTCACAGGGCAGCAGGACAGAGTGCAAGCAGGGGAACTGCCAGACACTTACAAAGCCATCAGATCTCATGTGATTTATTCACCATCACTAGAACAGCATGGGGGAAACCAGTCCTGTGATCCAATTACCTCCACCTGGTCCTGCCTTTGACACATGGGGATTATGGGA